CACACACACTCTGTGTGTGTGTGTGTGTGTGTGTGTGTGCGTGTGTGTGTGTGTGTGGTGAGCAAAGTACACGGTGTGTGTGTGGTGAGTGAAGTGCACAGTCTGTGTGTGGATGTGTGTAGTGAACAAAGCACACTGTGTGTGTGTGTAGTGAGCAAAGCACAGTGTGTGCGCAATTAGGGAGGGAGAGGAAGACTGTGTGTGTGTTCGTAGGGTGAGTCCCACATGCACAGCCAACCATACACATGCACCCACACCCACACCCCCCTTGCAGTGGTATACACACAGGCCCCCACACCCCCTCACAGACCCCAGCCATCCTCCCCATGACTACCCTCCACAAACCCCATGCCCACCCACACCCCATATATCCACACATACCCACATGCTCCCTCACCCCACACACCTAACCTCTCCCTCATCCCCCACAGTATATAAGAGTACGACTTCATTTTAAGCTATTATATACAATCACCTCTATGCACACTACACAAACACATGTAAATCAGGACAAAAATATTTTTTAAAATCATTAATGAATGATTGTAGATGTTTGATTTTTTAGAATATAATTTGGTGTTTTTCTGGTTCTGAGGTGGCAAAACCCCTTGCAGAAGGGAGTATTTCTGGGGTTGAAGAGAGGGGCTTCCAGTAGCAAAGGTTGGGGCCAAGGGGTAAGACTCTGGGTCCCAAGATGGTGGCCAGGGGGCGGGGTACCTGTCAAGGGGTGGGATTACCCATGCAACCCTCAACACCTTGCCAGAACTCTGTGAGCAGCCCTCTGCCTGAAGTACTTGCCTGCCCCTGATATAGGATGAACTAAGACAGTAATGATAATATAACATATGATATAATTAATACAGCATATACCCTAAATATATACTTATGGTTAATGTAAAATGCAACCGTTAGTTCTTTTGAGCTTATACCTATCATCCAAACATGGCCATCATAGAAAAAAAAAGAAATTAATTTCAACCTTAGTCTCCAAAAATAAAGTATTTTAAGCAGCAAAAACTTTCATTTAAATTGGATAAGTAAAATGTTTTGGATTAATTATTCATGTTAAATAAGAATATCCTGTTTGGAAAAAGTTGCTTCTCCTGTCATGTGTGTGTTCTAGTTCTATCTTAATTTTATGTTAATACTTTTTTCATTTTTTTGCCTTATATATTTTTCCCAGGATAGCCCACTGGTCTTACAGTCTGACAGGAATGTAACAGTGAATGCAAGAAATCACATGGGACAATTAACTGGACAACTAACTGTAGGTGAGTGTTATCTTCTATAAAGATTACATGTATCAATTTAGCCTTAGTTTTTTTTCTGTGGTATAAAAGAGAAAATAGTGGTGAAGTGTTGTGTAAAATATTACTCACATGCACTCTGATCATCATGATAGGCATGATTCAGCTTTCATTAAAGTTGGTAGAAAATAGAGCAAGTCAAAACAAAATTGTGTCAACACTTTTATGAAAAAATGATAATATTGTATTGTTTGGGGGAAGCTTATCACAAAAAAAAAAAAAATCTGAAGGGTTTCATCAGATAGCGATCATTTTCCATGAAAACCTAATTCTTTAGGTTTCTCTCTCTTACGGAAGTACTGGCTTGGGTTCTTTGAGTCCTGCATCATGCATAGGGTTCTGATCATACATAGGGTTTTGCCCAAAAGGAGTTGTAGAATCAGAGCAAAAAGTTGCAAACAGTGTAAACCTGTTAGCATTTCTGTCCCGCTCAGCCAAGTGTGGGTGGTGTCTGTGTATTTGGTGGTGGGGATAATACAGCACTGTAAAGCAAGAAAAAACAGAATCATATTTTGAGTCCTTAGTGAAACTGTGTTTGATGTAACTTTATTTTACAATTGAAAGACTCCAGATGAAAAGAAAATTCAAAATGCCCTGATCATCACTATGCCTATTCCTATACTTTTTTTTGTTTCCATGCATTTTTTATTTCCTTCTATTTCTCTGTTTTCATTATTTACTATTATGTTTAAATGTATAGCAAATGGTCACATCTACATGAAACGCTTACTGTGGAGTAGACTAATTTGTTCTGCAGTAAATGTTGCACATCTACATGTGCACACCTATTAGACTGCAGTAAACTGATTAATTCTGCAGCAGGATAGTATTTGTAAATACAAGTACTATCCTGTTCCAGAGTTTTTTATTCTACAGCAGTACACATGTAGACACTGTCCTGGCTGGCTGGGGCACAGTGCTAGCCCCACACTGAAGTACCCTCATGTCTCAGCCAGTCCCTCTGCAGCATGTTGAGTTGGGGTGGAGGGACAGGCATCCCCAGGCTAACAGGCTGACCCTTGGTGTCCCATGCCAGCAGAGCCTGCCTTAACCCAGTGCAATGTGCTGCAGTCCCCATTGAACGTGCAAGCAGCATGCCTGGGAGCAATAAACTCTGGTGCAATAAACTCCAGTACAGAAAGGTGACCATTATTGAATGTTCCCTGCAAAGTAGATAGAAAATTGTGAAAGAAAGTAAATAGGCACCAAGTAACTAGTGATGGCCTTAAGTGTATATGAGAGAAATATAGGTTTGAACAGGTTTGTGCTTGTCTCTATGCCTTTTTCGTTGTTTTTTAGCACAGCTCTATGACTTTTCAATATTGTCTTGAAATTATTTGATTTATCATTGGGGAAATACATTCCTATTAGTAACTGATACATAATATTAATGTAGCTTAGAATTTCAGTAGATTGCACAGAATGCTGTAGTATAAAAATTATTTATAAAAATAATGCTACTGGATTTGTATCATTGCTGTCATCAAATATTTGTTGTTTTGTCCATATAGCAAATCTTTTAGATAGAAAAATTAAGCAGTGAAAAAAAGCTTCTGTTGCTGGGAAAAGGATATTATAACAGGATTTTTAGTAAAGACTTTTTCTGTCTAATGTTTTGAAAACAAATATACAAATTAGAGAAAAAATATTTTCTAGTTTGTATATTTGTTGAAATATACAACAAGTATATGACAATATTCATTCAGACGTAGATGTTTCCTTTGGAATTCTGAATGAATATTGTCATATTTTTCATAAATTCCCAACCAAAAACTGAAAAATATTGGTTAACTTTAAGCTACTCAGAACATTATATTTTCAACATTGTACAGGTGAGTGGAATAGTTATACAAGATGCTTTTAAAAAAAACAACTTTGAAACTTCTCAATTTTGGTATAATATAGAATAAAAATAAATTTAGAAATTACTTAGTTTTTCATTAAATGGATTTCTTGTTTTCTGATCAACCCTAGCTCTTACTGCAAAACTGTGTTCTTCCTTACTTCATTGAAAGTGAAACATCCAATATGTTTTAGACACAATATATCTTAAATTCCTATGTTAACCATTACATTAACATCTCACATATTAGTTATAGCCATTAAAAAAAAAATGTCCATTCTCTGTCCAACATTAATATACACAAAGAAGTGCTATTGAATTAAAATTAGGAAAGACATTATCCTTTTTATTTCATTAAACTTTATTTGAAAAATCTGTGTTTTAATAGAAAAAAATGATGTATTGTTAGATCCTAGGTAATGCATGCCATTAGGTTTTATTTACAGTGTAGAAATTACTATTGTAAGAACAGTTACTCTTGTTGGTGTGATTAAGTATTCTGTTGAAATGTTTAGTTAGCAGGCTTCCATAACTTCTTCACTTCCTAAGACTTACTGCCATCCTTTTAACAACATCCCATTTGAAACTTCAAAATGATTGTTTAACAGTATTAAAGCAGATAAGTAGAGATCAAGTATAACTAAACAGTAGGACTAGTTTTCTGTGGTAGATACTATTTTTGTTCCTATGAGTACGTCTATTTGGTATATGAAACGACCATTAGTAAATCTTTTACTATTTGGGACAATTCTAAATATGGTATCCACGTTCATGAATTAAAAAGAAATCCACGCATTCACTCGATTCAAACAAAGCAGCCCCAATTAGACAATATAATTGTAATATATAATAAGGCTCACTAAGTTCTACAAAGCTAGTAGATAAAAAGTAATTTATTCGAGCATTCCTATCCTGCCTTCTTACAATTAAGTTGGCATATAGTAGAGATGAATCGGTAAAGAACATGGCTGCTCTGCTGATCATGAGCCCTCCCAGAGGCAAGATTATGGGATCGTTTCCTGGCTAGGTTTTTTGTTTGTTTGTTTTTGTTTGTTTTTTTTACATGATTCTGACTTTCCCCCAACATTCAAAGCAAAAAGTGTTTAATGGAATATGGAGGGCTTATCTAGCTTTTATCAGCAGCATGATTTTTGTCCCCCATTGTATAAATGATACCCAACTATACTGTTCATGGCTACGCGGGAATGGACCAGAAACGGTTTTAATAAAAGCCTATCAGCATTTCATTAGTTGGAATATTTTAAAAATAGTCTTTCCCTGTGGACATGAGCATGACATTATATAATAAAAACCATCTAAAATTATGAAAGCCTAATGGCTCTAAATAGAGTTAGGCTATAAAGTCTGAGATTTATTTTTATATAAGGGGAAAAGCAGAACTTGTTTTACCTACTTCTTATATAGGAATTATATGTTTCTAAAGCTCATTTTCCAGGCATGTGCTCCTATTCCTAATGACTGATTAGACTAACCAACCTATATTCAGTGCAAATGGGTGATGACAAGAGACTTCCTGATTTAAGTTTCAATGGCTGAAGTGTTAACACACAGATATGTTTAGTTTTAGTTTTTGATGAAGTCTTGTTTTGATTCAGAATGTGTATTCCAGGAGAGAATTGCTAACATTTTCTTTTAATTCCTTCTTTCAAGTCATCACGGTGTTAATATATTTGTCATGATCTGACACTTTAAATGCTTGGTATTAAATCTGGATCATTAAATCTAGTTTGGATGACCTATTACGTTTTGCTTCTGTTGAGTTGGGAATTTTACTTTAAGCATGTGAAAACTTCACTTGATGTTGCAATATCATTTATGAAGATGCACTATCTGCAATGATTATCTTACATGACCACATCAAATGGCTATGCAAAGGTAACCAGACTTGCTAGTGGATACAGATGAGTAGAAATTAAGCTAACAACTGTTTGAGCCATATTGTACTTGCCAGCACATTTATGGAACATACTTCTGTTCCTTCAGATAGATTAGATTACCATATTTCCAGTTCCAAGAAAGAGGATGCCCATCGGAGGGTATATAATTGTGGGGGGAGGGCAGTTTCTAACTGTTACAGTAAATGACAAGTGTTATTGCCTCAGAAATTAAATGTAAAACAAAACTAAAGCCATAGCTCTCCCTAGCCCTGCCAATGCCCCTAACTCCCAACCCACAGCCCCCCATCCCTGCTGCTGCCCTTAACTCCTGACCTGCACACCCCTGGCCTTGCCAGTACCCCTCACTCCCAACCCACAGTACCCTGCCCCCCAGGCTATGCTGGTGTCCCTCACTCCCAACCCACTGCCCTCCATCCCTGCTGGTACCCCTCACTCTTGACACACAGCCCTCTGGGGCTGCCAGTGCCCCGCTCACCTAACCCCCACCCCACCTGGTGCCCCTCACTCCCAAGCCAAAGCCCCCCAGCCCTCTGAGTGCCCCTCACTCCTGACTCACAGCCCCCTGCTCCCCCCAGCCCTGCCAAAGGGGCCTCCAGCTGATCCTGTCCCAACCTAGACAAAGGACGACAGCTGTGGTGGCTCCCGCTCATGCGGATAGCAGCGTAGCAAATCTGGCCCTGGTGTGGGCTAGAGGGAGGAGGAGGGAAGGCCTGTGCCACCCTTCACCCTGGGTTGGGGCTCCTGCACTGTACCAGGCAGCCTGCCATGCTCCTCTACAAGCAGTCTCCTGGCTGCCCTGCCCCAGCAAACACAGGCTCTAGCCCTAGTGCTGCTGGCCCAACCACACAGCTCCTTTCTGCCCCCATCCCCTGCTGGTGAAGAAAGCATCTTCTGTCAGCCCTGTTGCAGTCCCAGCACCCAGACACCTTACCCCAGCACTAGCAAGCACCCGCTTCCCTTCACATACCCATCCCCTTCCACAAACACCTGCCACATGCGTGCACACCCATACAAAACACACGGCCCCCTGGACAGTCTCCAAGCCCTGGACCTCCAGCTCCTGATTCCCATTGACTTGCCTTTATCCAGCTGCAGAGGCTACTCCCACCACCCTGCCTGGCTGTATACTGGACATGCGCATGTGCACGCAGATACATATGCCACCCCCTGCCTCTAATCAACCCAAGCAGCTCCTTGCAGGC